AACATTGATTGCAGAACCTGATATCAAATGTGCAGCAAGTACATGGATTTACCGGTCTATTCGAGATGACAATCTTTGAGAGTATATCTTCCCTCATAAAGCGCCATCAGTTCACAGTTCCCTTCTTTTCATTGTCTTAATAGGTTTCGGAAAAATTATTTCATAATTTAAGAAGTTTGCCGCGACAGCTATCGCTGATTTCCACTTCAAATGCTTTTCTTTGTACACAAGAAACACTCATTATATCCAAATGAGAATTTACTTTTTTTTACATGTTTTTACCCAAAAATGTTTTCACCTCTAATTATATCCAAAAACTTCACTTTTCAGAAATTTACTTTTTTTAACAATTAATTGGTGAGTATGGTATAAGTAATAGTTTACTTTGATAAGCATTATTATCATTGCTTTTGCTTTTAAAATACTAATAGTAACAGCTAATTTTCCTCAAAATTTATAAAAATTGCTAAGAATTAAAACTTTTTGAAAAACTTTTCGTTAGCAAAAAAGTTTCTTCTAATTAATTTGGTACATTAAAAGGGTATTGTTTTCGAGTCTGAGTGTTTTATGTTTTGATTCTGACACTAAGTCATACTTCAGTTCACTTTCAGTTTTTTTTAGTTCAAAATTACATTAGCGAATTTGCTACGTAACAAAAAGAATTTGGTCTTTGTTTCGGCAGATGTTTGATGATATCAAGATAATGGGAAGAAATTATTGAAGTACTTAAAATCAATATTTGATAAATGTTTTTACTACTGATTTCTAATTCTTTACTTACTTACTTGTTTAATTGCTCTTTAACTCATTTCCCATTTTTTTGCTCAATAATTTGTTTCATTATATATCAAGAAGTGAGCTATATAGGTATGCTTCACCTAAATGTTTCATGTGAGAATAGATCACAATTTCCTAAAATGTAATCAACACTATGGAAGACTAATGGAACTGATCTGAAATTAATTTTTTTAGTTAAATATGTCTTAACTCAACTTTGTTGAATACAATTCAATTGCATTCATTTTAGTCATAATTTCAATGTTTGAAAATTGTTGGTGAATTCAATTATCATTTTTACATAAAAGAAAGAAACAAATTGATTGTGAAAAAAATGTTTGAATTAAATTTGCCGAAATGAAAATCAATTGAAATATCCATGCCACTGCTATATATTATCGTTTGTAATGAAACGAAAAACTAATTAGTGAAAATCATTTCTCAACCAAAAAAGTGTTTGAAAAAAGATATTTTTCAGTTATTCCTGAATTTTCAACAGACAGCTACATTCCGTTTTATCAATCTAATTGTCAATGCAACATTTCATCCTAAATTATTATCAGTGTTGGGAAAATTGTACTTTCTTCAAAATCTTTACATTTCATATCTTAATATAACTCAAAACATGAATCATTTCTCAAAATTCGGGAACGGTATCATTCTGGTTTTCATCTTCCTATTATTATATTGATAAGATATTAACAGTGTATCAGTTTGAAGGCAAAGATTGGACCAAATGGATGTAATCATTGCTGCTTTCAGTTGAGCCAAGCATGACATCCATTCAGATTTCCTCTTTTTCCACTTATTGCGCTTTTATCAACTTTCGGTGATATATTTTCGCCAGCCTACAATCTGTAATAATTCGAAAAAATCGACGAAGCAATAAAGTGAAAATTAGCTAATAAATTCTAAGAAATGCAGGAATCTAATGAAAACCAAAAAAAATATTGATCAATTAAGGAATTCTGCACAGAATTTGACCACACTCCGTAACATGGATGTGGGAGAAAATTACCGGTGCTTGTGAATAACCATAATTATTGATTTCAGGTTGAATCAATTAGGATAGAGATATGTAGCAATCATCTGCAAAAAGTTTGACATTGATAAGAAAACGGACTCGAAAATTCTTGATTTTAGTTCTAGCAATCAAATTTGGTTAATAATTAGCAACCTTCCAACGATAAGAATTGACATCTGTTCTATGATAGTATCTACCGGACATCGACACAATAATGATAGGTTCAAAGGTTACGAGATAAAAGAGAGTCAGAATGTGCGTGAATTCTCAAATAATAAATTAATTTAACATTTAGCAGTATGAGACAGTGAAAAATCAAACAGATCACCGTCTCCTTGTTGACCAATGAAAGCAATCCTAAAGAAAAAACATGACTTCCAATAATTAAACTGTCATTTTTGATGAAATTACAGAATTTTATTGCACATCATCTCTCTTTACTCATTATCTTATAATATATTTATTGTCCTGTACCGATATTGCTTTAAAATCAATCAAAAATTCTATACTGTATGATACATTTATTGGATTAAATAAACTTCTCAAAAATTAAATTCAGTCCAACTAGCATTAGAACATTCCTTTTGTCTGAAAAACTGCATGCTTCCTATTCATTATGCTAATAGAATATTAAAACATGAAAAGTTGACTTGGGCATTTCATACTTACCATGAGTATTGGGCTAATTCAGGAATGGAAATGATGAATGTTAACCTAATTTAACAATCTACCGCAACAAATAATCACGGAAACATCATTAAATACTGCATTTTCGCCACTTTCATCTTTTCTTTCTTATATAGCTTTTTACCTTCATTCATCATCTTATTATCATCTTCGATCACTCAGAATTAATTTAATTCCTGAATCTCAAAAATTTATTACAGTTTTACTGCCAAATGTTGTTACAAATTTGAAGTTTGAATTAAATATTCATTAAATAATACAAAATCATCGCATGCGTGGATACATATTCATGAAGATAATATAGATAGAGTTGAAATTTGACGGTATTGAGATGAAAAGAAAAGAAATATTAAGCAATGTGAAGTGCAACCCGAAATTATTTCAGAAATGTTTTGATGATGTCATTTTTTTCAAACCAAAACTATCTTGAAAACTATGGAAGCTTGCTTTCATCTTCCCTTTTAGTTTATGTTTTTAACTTATTGTTTGAAGTCTCAATTTCCAAGCATTTAGATTCCACACTAACTCTATTAAACTGTAACTACTATTCTGCTAATTTTAAACAAACAAAAATGCATCATGCTTCGGAAAATTTATTTCACATCGGCAATTATCGGCTCTGAGTAACTTTTTCCAGATACCATTGCATGACTTTGGTCCGACCAATTTCCAGAATCCAGTTTCCCCGTCATTCAAATCAGATGTGCATCTGTAAAACTAAGTTCTACTTCAATTTTAATGCAGACTTTTGCAGTAATCATAATGTAGTCCTCACCTTAGAAAGTATCCCAGATTTCAGTGAGTGGCCAAATATTTTGCCACTATGAAGAATGAAATACGATAATCGAAATATGAAGTGAGTAGAGAATTGCCAAGAAAAATAAATGACTTACTTGTTAGTATTACCATACAGTTGCGCTTCTGGCTGGCATTCTACACAGATGTTATTGCCGGTATAAAGCTTGATACCGATCTTCTTATCAATGCAGTTTGAATTCACCCAACCCAATTCATAAATTCCACAATAGCTAAATAACCACACAAAATAGGTTAAAGTTCAACAGGCTAATATTTCATTCATTAATTTTGCTCATCCTTCAACAAAAGAAAAAGATCAACGTGGT